AATGAGGTGCAAAGCGACGCACTCGTGAGCCAGACGGCCCGTACGTTGTTTCCGGCTTTTGTCCACGCCCTGACCGTCGCAGCCAAAACCGCCAGCCCGACCAGCACTCCCGCGATGCGATGGCGTCCACTCGATCAGGGCGTGCTTGTCGACGGGGGGTATCAGCCGCCCATAGCAGAGCGGCCAATCGGGGCAGCCATCGCCCGACTCTGTCACCCTGACGACACCGCCGAACGTTATCTGCAGGATTGCGCCGACCAGTGACGCGACCAGCAGCCATACCAGCCAACCGTCCCGCATCGCCCGGGCGGGTCCGGGGGCGCCGGCTCTGGCGTTCGCGACTCCTCAGGGACGGTTGAGTCATCGGGTCGGCTCCGAATCGCGAACCCAGCCGGCGGCCGGATACTCGGTATTTTCGGCAACTCCCGGCCGCCTCAAGTGGTCATCACCAATTGGCCTGCTCTGCCGCCGGGCAATTCGCAGGAATCTTGGGCAACTCCCGGCCGCGCCAAATCTCCGCCGCGGGTCCAGTCTCATTTGTTCACAACAGCCAGACACAGGGCGCGAGAATTCCGGGTAGATCAGGCGCGTTTGACCGCGATCAGCTCGGCGTGGACCAGAATCCGCCGGTCATAGACATTCGGCGGCCAGCAAGTGACGAGAATAATGCTGGAGTTCGGCGTGTTGGTTATCGCCAGGTCGTCCTGGTGGAGTTGTTCCGTCGCGACCACCCGATAGAGGTACTCCGCGTCCTCCGTCACGAGCACCACGTCGACGGGGTCCTGTCGTATGAGGTCCGCTATGTCCGGCAGGCGCCTGAACACGTCGCCTTCACCCTGCAGAATGCTCCGCAGATGCCCGAAGTACCATCCCTGCGCCATCTCGCCGGGGCGCGCCGTATCCGGTATGTGGCCGACGGTGTTGTCCGGCGTCTCGTACGAGAGTTGGTCCTCGATGTTCACGAGGCCAAGCTCCGCAACGCTCGAATCGAGGTTAACCGCCGGAATCTGAATTCGGACGGCGTTGCTCCTCGCCGCCTCCGCAACGTTCGTATCACGCGACGACACCGGCTCAAACCCCTCGGGCAGACTCGGTCCGCCGAACGGCGCGGCGCCGGCCCAGTACGGCTCGGCCCAGTACTTGGGATTGGTCAGGTTGGCCGGATAGACCGAGGCGAGATCGAGTACGTCCGGGCGCGGCAAATCGCCTGTCGCGGGACCGGTGCCGGTCGTCGCGTAGTCATCCTCCGGCTCCAGTACCTCGGTGGTTTCCGGTAGCGCCGCACCGGTGGATCGAAGCGCCGGATCCTTGACAGCGTCGACCGGCGCAGCTTGCGCAAGCAGTTCCGGCAGGTGCGACGGAGGGCGCCTTTACCTCGAACCGATCTCTGTCGGAACCGGATCGTGCGCCGGAGTACAGGTAGTATGCGACCAAGCCGAACAAGACCAGGCCGACGACGATCAGCCCTATCGACATCGTCGTCAACCAGGCCTGACGGACCCTGGGCGTTCGGCGCATCTCTGCAATCTCGTTCATACGACGAATGTACGATCGGCCGGTCTGCCGGTCGACGATCTGCCCTCTAGCCGCGCTCCGGGCTCAGTCGGTCGGCCCCGATTGCCAGGCAAACGTTCCGGCGGCCTGTTCCTCTTAGTGGTACCTCGGACTCGCCCCCTGGATGATCGGCTCGTTGAGGTGGATCTCTCCATTACGGATCTTGATGTTGTACCCGCAGTCGGGAACGGTGCAGACCCATGCCTTGTAGTGTACGGCCGCCCCCTGACCGCCAAAGTCTGAAAGTGGTACCAGTACTCCTGTTGAACAAGACTGGCACAATGGAAGGTCGTGCGATTCCAACTTCTACCTCTCCCCTTTTACGATTTAGAGAATCGTATGGATACGTCGCCGGGTTCCGTACCCGGAGTAATCTAGTTTATCGGCTTACTTCCGCCGCCGCTTTGAATTCTCCGGCCGGCGCGTTGGCCAAAACACGCGATCCACAACAGGAAACCAGCCAAATCCCCAGAACACGGGGCAGCCGGACGGCTCTTGCGCCCGGCACATCACCCGAAATACCGTCGAACCAACTTGTCAGCCAAAAAACCAAAGAAAAAAATACTGGGATAGAGACGTCTTGCGACGAGACGGCGGCGGGGCTGGTGGACCAGGACGGCCGTCTGTTGGCGAACGTCGTGGCGTCTCAATCTGAACTGCACGCCCGGTTCGGCGGAGTGGTCCCCGAAGTCGCGTCGAGGCAACACCTGTTGTCGATACAAGGCGTTCTTCGAAGGGCGCTCGACGAGTCCGGGACCGAATGGGAAGACATCGACGCCGTCGCCGTAACAAACGGGCCGGGACTCGCCGGCGCGCTGATCGTAGGCGTAAACGTCGCCAAGGGTCTCGCGGCTTCGCTGGGAGTGCCACTCGTCGGCGTCAATCACCTCGCAGGCCACGTCTATGCGGCGTGGATCGACAGCGGCGCCGGCCCCGCCGTGGAGGACGGTCGACTCCCCGCGGCGGGGCATGGCCCAGTTACCCCGCGCATGTGCCTGATCGTGTCCGGAGGCCACACGGAGTTGGTGCTAATGGACGAAGAGGGGCGTTTCCGGATGATCGGCGAGACGCGTGACGACGCCGCGGGTGAGGCGTTCGACAAGGTCGCCAGGGTGCTGGGCCTGCGGTACCCCGGAGGCCCAGAGATTCAGCGCGCGGCCAGAGACGGGGGCAGGACTGAATCGCTTCCCCGCGCATGGCTGAGAGGCACGCATGACTTCAGCTTCAGCGGCCTGAAGACGGCGGTGATTCGGCGGGCGCGGCAGGATGGGATCTATCCGCCGCCGCCGGAGGGGCCTCCCTGGGAAAATGTAGCCGCGCTGGCGCGGGAGTTTCAGAATTCGGTGGTGGACGTTCTTGTCAAAAAGACCGTCGACGCGTCGGCAAGATACGGGTGCGGCGAGGTGGTGTTGGCCGGCGGGGTAGCGGCAACTCGGCGCTCAGGGAAACCCTGGCCCGCGCCTCGGACGTGCCCGTTGCCGTGCCTCCCGTGGCGCTGTGCACAGACAACGGCGCCATGATCGCCATGGCGGGGCTGGTGGAGTTGGAACGGGGCAGGACTTCCGGGTGGGACCTGGACGTGATCCCCGGGCTGCGGCTCGCCGCCTGAACCGACCTGTGCAGTCCTAAAGTAGAGGATTCCTCACGGCCCCGAACGGTCGGGAAGGCGGACCGGGCCTCGTCCGCCGGATCAATTCGGCGCGCTGGCGTTCGAACTTCGCCGCAAAAACCTGCGCGGCCCCGGCATCTGCGTCCTCCACCTGCCCTCCCAACGGGCCGCCCGGCGTCAGGAACGTCAACATGATCCCCGGCCGCCTGAGCCAGTAGTCGGCCAGCAGCGCAATCGAGACAACGCCAACGACGGCAGCCGCGATCGCGCCGACGGACTCGCTCCTGGTCACCTGCCATACAGCGATCGCGGCGAGGAGGCCTATGACACCCCATACTGCGCTTCGCCTGTCCCTCGACCTGCGTTCGAGCCTCACCGCTGCCACGTCCGTGAGACGAGCTGATTCAGCGATGATCCGGTCCTCACTGCCGCCGGCGTAGAGGACCCGTCGGTCTGTGAGAACGAACAGTGCGCCGCCCGCGCCGGGGGCTTCTGTAATCCGTTCTTCGCCGGGGAGCAGCGCCAGCGGCCCGCTCTCACTCCCCGGAGCCTCGTCCGACGGGATGCCGGCGTATCGTGGTTCAACAGCCATTACAGAGGTCCTGCCGGGGGCCGCAATGCCTCATCGTATGGATCGCAAACGCGCCGCGCCAAGGGGCAACTGCCGCGTCATGTCGATGGGAGTGGTCAATGATCGATAGAGGTAGATCAAACCCTGCTGTTCCCTTGCGCCGTACGCCGAAGCACGTTTCGCCGGTCCCAGGGCGAACATCAACTTCGCCTCGCGGGTTATGGAGTTTTCCGGAAGGGCCGGAAAACTACGGTATAGATCGACTACGACGGACTCCAGCGTGCTGTCGCCCTGCAGGGCGCCGCAGCGCACAACCCAGGCAGTACTGCGTTAACGACTATTTCCGCCGCCCTTCCGCGCCCGATCAGCGAACGCCTTTCACCTTCTCCCGGCGCCTCGAACGCGCGAATGACGTCACGGGGTTTCCTGGACCCAAGCACGATCGCAGTCATGGTACGCGCCGGCCCGCCGCCTTCGCTCCAGCGCGCCGCCAGCCGCGCCGCGCCCCTGATCCGGCGTTCCGGCGCATTGTCCGGCCTTCCCGCCGGACGGGTCCAGACCGGGGCCGTCCCGTTCAGCCGGCCTGCGCCGGCCGGTTTGCCGGCAAATCCGCCTGCCCAACATAGCAGCAGGTCCTCCATTGGGGAGACGTCTCCGGTAGTCACCCGGGAAACCAACGAGGCCCATGGCAGCCTGCGGGCCAACTCCCTGAACTGGCGCTTGTTGCGCGGAAAGCCCATGCACTCCATTACGGCGAGGTATAGCGCCTGGTCCACTCCCTCGTGACGCATCGCCAACTCCGCCCCGCTGACCCTGGCCGCGAAGCGCTCCTCGCCCGCGGTGGACAGATCGAGCGGCAACGGCAGCGGCCCTTCTACAGGGATATCCGGACCGGTAGCGCTTTCCGAACGGCTGCCAACGCGTTTTTTTTTGCCGAGCAAAGGACCCAGCCGCAGTTCCCGCACATCGCGATTGGCCGACGATACGGTGCCTGCCTCACCTGCGTTTTCCAGGAAAGCGTGGAAGGTCACGCCGTTGTAACGCGGGTCCTTGTCGTGCCCATGGGCGCGCCAGCCGTTTCGCCTCACGTGAATCTCGACGTCGCCCGTGACCCTCGCGCCGTCGTCCCTCATCAGGACCGCGTCCACAAAGTCGGGGCCGTAGCTGCCGCCACGTCTGCCGGAATACACAACCCGGTACCAACGCCCGTCGCTGGCTTTCAGCGAGATGTCACGAGCCGCCGACCGCCGCCATGCGTCCTGGAGGGTCTTCTCCGGTGTGCCGCGCGGCGATTTCCGGGAGATTACGGGTGCAGGCCGGGTGCGGCCGCTATCCGCCGCAACGACAAAAGCGGTCCGTTTGCGAACGGAGCGTTCGGCGACCCGCACGCGCCGTGTCGGGCCCGGATCGGCGGCGGAAACGCAGAAGTAACCGGCCGACGCCCAAACCGGTCGCATAAACGGTGTTTCCCGTAACTCGACAGTTGCGCCCATCTACGCAATAGTGCGCCGAATCCTCGCGAACAAGCTGCGACATACGCGTGGCGCGTCGTTCGCCGGGCTCTGCGCGTTCGCCTTGAGGCCGACCGATTGCGACAGTCATTGTTGACTAGCCGCCGAATGCGTTATCGCGATTGGAGTTAACGAACGCCCTTGCGGTTGTCGAACATCAGGTCATTGATCGCGATGGTTACGGAGTAGTCGGAAGCCAGACGTTTGCCCGAAGCGCGAGTCTTGCTGACGACATCCTGCCAAGCAGCCAACGCCTCCGGGTGTTCCGGCTCGCCTGGGAAGCCCAGCGAAGCGGCGAAATCGTGGGGTCCGGCGGTTATTCCGGTAAGCCTGGGACGGTGAGAATTTCCTCGAGGTTTTCCCAGGCGACCTTCGATTCGATCTGGCCGAACACCAGCATGTTTGCGTTGGACCACTTCGCGAAACCCAGTTTGCCGCCCATGGCATCCAGTTTCTCGGTGTCTCCGAACTCGGTCCCCCGGCCTCCGCCCCAGGACCGTTGCCCGTCCGGTGGAAACAGGCAGGCGTCGGCCAGCATTTGGGCTTGCTCGACGGTGTCGATGTGCGGCCCGACGATGCCCTGGACCCCGCGGTCGAGAAACAGGTTGATGGTGTCCGAGTTGATGTTCGGGACTCGCGCGGTGACGGACATACCGTACCCGTTGGCGACGCGGCAGATTTCGTCCACCGACTCGGGAGTGAAATGGCCGTGCTCTCCGTCGACGTTGATGGAGTCGAACCCGCACTGCGCCGCGATCTCGACAAGTTGCATCGAGGGGAATATCAGGCCGAATCCGACGGCCTTCTTGCCCGCCCGATTCTGCCGCATTATGGAATTTTCAATCATTGTTTGGTTTGACTCCTTTTTTGGCTGACCTGCTAGCCACAGTATTCGGTATTCAAGACTTTACTTGCCCTGCCTAAGTATCGGAATTGTGGGCCGGATTTCGGCTGATCTCCTGGTCATCGTGTTCGGGTCCAAGACGGTGTCCAATGATACCGATTCGTTTCGATTACGCCGTCCACTACGCGTGCCGATTCGTCCCCAACGTGGTCGAGAGTCAGCCCGTTCGCACCCTAGATCCCGCGGATCGATCCTCCCGCGGAGGTTGTTCGTTCCATCGGAGGATGCCGCGCTATTTCGTCTTCGACAAATTCCAGGCCCAGTCCCCGGCGCGTCGGACAACTCAACGTATCCGTCCTTCTGGCGTGGGAAACCGGCCGTCACGTCGAAGTAGTGCGGATCGTAGAACTCTGCGTGGTACTCCTGGATGAGGAAGTTCCAAACCGCCGCGTCGAGGTGCATCTCCGCCATCGCTCCCACCGGGGAGCAGACGTTGTGCGGCGCCATCGTTGCGTGTCGGCCTCTGCAAGCGTGGCGATCTTCCTGAGCTCCGTGATGCCGCCCGCGTTGGCGATGTCCGGCTGCAGCACGTCGACCGCCCTCGCCTTCAGCAGCTGGTTGAACGGGAAAATCGTGTACAGCCGCTCGCCCGTGGCTATCGGGATATCGACGCGGTCTCTAACCTCCGCCATCTCGTGCACGTTTCTCCGGCGAGACCGGTTCTTCATAGAAGAGCGGCCGGTACTCCTCCATCCGCTTGCCGAGTTGAATGGCAGTGCGCAACGTTGAACTTGGCGTGCGCCTCGACGAGGATGTCGACCTCCGGCCCGACCGCGTTGCGCACTGCGGCCACCCGGTCCTGCGCAAGTTGCGCCTCGCTCAGCGAGATGGTGTAGTAGTTCCGTTGGCCGAACGGGTCGAACTTGAGGGCCGTGTATCCCATGTCCACCACGACCTTCGCCTCGTCGGCGTTCTGCGCGGGCGTGCCGGGGTTCGTAGTACCAGCCGTTGGCGTACACCCTGATTCTCGTGCGATGCGCGCCGCCGAGCAGCCGGTAGACCGGCTGGTCAAGGATCTTGCCCTTGAGGTCCCACAGCGCCATGTCGATACCGGATAACGCAGTCGTCGCGATGCGTCCGCCGCGCGCCTGCTGGTCCATGTACAGCACGTTGTGCAGCACGCCGGAGTCGAGCGGGTCTTTTCCCACGAGGTAACGCGCCGTCAGTTCTTCGACGAACGACATCACCTCGGCGTCGTTCTGCATCGGGCTGGCGTCCCCGAGGCCGCTGAGCCCGGGCTGATCGGTGTTCAGCTTGACCATCAGCCAATTACGGCTTGCGTTGTGGTGATTCGCCGAGAATCGCCTGAACTCTACGCCCGTTATCGCTGGCATCGTGTTTCCTTGCCAACCCGCGGTATTCGCGGGCCCGTTGTCGTCCGTAGCCCTGCCGATGAAAGGGAACCCACGATCCCGCCGCCGTCGGCTAGTCGTCGCAGTGTAACGGCCCTGACAAAATCGCGGCGGCGCCAGCCGTTCCAGTGGATGTACCGCGGGCCGCTTTAACGGCCTCTAACGCCGGGCGCGCCCACCCTTTGAGTACAATCCCGCCAGGAACGGTGCCGGAGAAGGAGAAACATGAGCAGGCCGATCATCATCATCTGCATAGACGGGTTCGACCCCGATTATCTCGAGGCGGCCGAAATGCCCAACCTGCGGGAAATCGGCCGCAAGGGCTTCATGACCACGGGCCGGTCGATGATGCCGTCGGTGACCAACGTGAACAACGTCTCGATCGTCACCGCCAGCTATCCCGCCGAGCACGGAATATGCTCGAACTACCGGTGGGACAGGGAGACGGGCGAAGGGGATTTACAGTCGAGTCGGCCGAGAACATCCGCTCCCGTGACGATGTTCCGGCGGGCGGACGAACTGGGAATGACTTCGATCGTGGTCACCGCCAAAGACAAGCTTCGCACGCTCGTGGGCGTCGACGCCACGACACCGGTCTCCTCCGAGCGGGCGCCCGATTGGATCGCCGCCGCCGTGGGCGACCCGCCGGAGGTCTACTCCCTGGAGGTGAACGGCTGGGTGATCGACGTCGGCAACTTCCTAATGAAGCAGCGGCCGGTGGATATCGCCTATCTCACGACCACGGACTTCGCGATGCACATGAACCCGCCCGACCATCCGGATGGCCGTCCGGCACATGGCCATCCTCGACGACGCCATAGGCCGTATCGCCGCCGACCACCCAGACGCGGCGATCCTGGTCACGGCCGACCATGGGATGAACCAAAAAACCGAAATGGTCGATCTCAAGGCCGTCCTGGCTGCACGGGGCATCGAGTCCAACCCCGTCGCGATCATCAAGGACCGCTATGTCCTGCACCACTCGAACCTGGGCGGGTGTATGTACATCTACCTCGATCCGGCGAACGTCCGCGAAGCCATCGAAATCCTCCGCGACACGCCCGGCGTCGACGGCGCAATGACGAGAGAGGCGGCAGCGGAACGATTCGATCTCAGGCCGGACGCTATCGGCGATATCGTGGCGACGGCCTCTCAGTCGGTCGTTTTCGGGGACGCGGCAGAGGTCTCGATTCCCGACGGTCTGCGGTCCCACGGCTCCGTGCACGAGCGCGACATACCGATCGTCGGGTACAACGGCGACTTCGACGGCTTCGAGTTCCGGGAGAACCGCGACGTAGGCCGCTACGTGTTCGAACGCGTTCTCGACTGAATCGACCAAGGGTGGTGAATACTCACTGGATTATGCATCTTGACATCACTTGACTGCGCCGCGGCGCGAAAAACCGCGAAGTAGAGAAACCATGCTTCGAATTGCCGCCCGCATCGGCCCCGATTGGCTTGAACGGCCTGACGACCTCACACTGCTAAAGCAGATCGGCATCGACTTCGTGGACACGACGATCGACGCGTTCGCCGAATACCGGTCGAATGGCCGCAGATTGAACCGCGACGATGTCTCGAGGACCCTCGGGATTCTCGAAAGCGCGGGGCTGCGAATGGAGCGTTGCCAGGTCACACACGACGACCTCCGAAATGCGTTCCTGTGCCAGCCCGGCGGGCAGGCGGAGATCGACGACCTGTCCGCCAACACGGCAATTCTCGGGGAGTTCGACATCCCTGTCCTAGGCATACAGGTCTTCCATTCCAGGCAGGTGGTCAGCTGGAACGACACGATCTCATGGCCGGAAGGCCGGGGCGGATCGACTCACCTGCGGCAGGACCTGAACGCCGCCCTCGACCACCCGGCCCGGCCGGATGCGCCGAGCCGCGAGCAGCTATGGGATGGCACGCTCGACGTCTATCGGCAGGTCCTGCCCGTCGCCGAGGACTCCGGCGTCCTGGTGGCGACCCACGGCGTCGACCCTCCGGTCCGTCGGTTCACGGCGTGCCGCAGATCCTCTACAACTTCGCCGACTTCGACCGACTGTTCGACGAACTGCCGTCGCCCAACAATGGGATGACCTACTGCATTGGCACCCGCTACGAGTCCGGCGAAGACGTGCTTGCGGGGATAGAAAAGTACGGTCGGCAGGACCGCCTGTTTCACGTGCACTTCCGGAACGTAGTGGGCACGATCCCCGACGGAGGGGTGTACGACGAGGTCGCCCCCGACGAGGGGGACATGGACATGTTCAGGATCGCCCAGGCGCTCGACGAGGTTGGTTACAAGGGAGTGCTCGACTACGACCACCCGAACGCGGTGAACCTGACCGGCGACGACCCGCAGCACAGGATCTACGTCGCCTATCTCGTCGGGTACAACCGCGCTATTTCACAGGCCGTCGCCAGCGCGGCCGGCCAAGAAGTGCAGACTTCAGCTGAACGGTTTTTGCAAGACCGCGATGTGGGGCGGGATTGAATCCCGCCCCACATCGCGACAGTTCTTACTGGTCTATGACCGATCCGTCGGCGTGCAGCCTCGTATTGATCTCGCGGGGCGTGAAGGGAACCTTCTCTCGCGCGTCGGGCTTTAGCTCGACACCGATTCCCGGCTCGTCGGAGATAATCAGGTAGCCGTTGCCATCGTGCACCGGCGTGCCGGTGACCATGTCGCTCTTCGGCGGCACGTCCTCGCCCGTCGGGTACTCCTGCAGTGAGAAGTTCGGCACGGAGGCGGCAATCTGCAAGCAGGCCGCAGTGCTGACCGGACTGAGCGGGTTGTGCGGCACGACCCCACGTGTCTGGCCTCTGCCGCCGCGGCTATCTTCTTCGTTGCAGAGATGCCGCCCACGATGCACACGTCAGGCCGGACGTACTGGACCGCGTTCCTGCTGAGCGCCATCTCGAAGTCCCAGAGCGAGGTGAACCGCTCACCGTGGCTATGGGGATGTTTATCTTGTCGGCCACGTACGCCATCTCATCGATGTTGTCCGGCGTTACGGGGTCTTCGTAGAAATAGGGGTGGAACTTCTCGATGCCCAGGCCGAGCTGGACCGCTTCGGTGGGCGTGAGCCGCCGGTGTATCTCGATGCACAGATCGACGTCGCGGCCTACCGCCGCACGGTAGTCGGCCACGGTGTCGATGGCGTCCTCGATCTTCGCCACGTGGGTCTTGAAGTACGGCAGGTCGTGCGATTCGTCCAGGAACGGCGTCAGGTGCCCCACGGCAGTGAAACCCAGTTCCTTTGCGGCCTTGACGCCGTTGACGAGCTTCTCGCGGGTGTTTCCGAACACGTGGTAGTAGACACGCGCCTTGTCCCTGACCTTGCCGCCGAGCAATTGATGCACGGGGACGTCGAAGTGCTTGCCGGCTATATCCCAGAGCGCGATGTCGATCGCGCTGATAGCGCCCATGATGGCCGAGCCGCGGAAGTGGGATGAGCGGTACATGAACTGCCAGTGGTGCTCGATCCGGAGAGGGTCCTTCCCCATGAGGTAGCGGCCGTATTTTTCGATTGCGACGGCAGACGATTCGAGGTAGCCCCACGCGCCCGACTCACCCAGGCCGGTAATGCCTGCGTCCGTCTCGATCTCTACCAGCAGGTACCTGTCCAGAAAGATCGGTTCAACTTTAGTTATTTTCAATTCGTTTCTCTCCTGAATCGACTCGCGCTCATCCGTGATCCCACTCCTGCTCCAGTCCCGGCGCGCCTAGCGAATGTTATCCCGCCGCGCCCGTCATTGAAACCGTCCCTTTACGTCAGCCCCGGTCCCTGATCACGGCGTGGGCGGCGTTATGCCCTGGCGCGCCCGACACCTCCCCGCCGGGGTGCATTCCGGACCCGCACATGTACAGCCCGGGACACCGGAGTCCGGTACGGGGCGCAGCCGGGCAGGGAGCGGTTTGCAGAACATCTGGCCCGGCACAATGTCGAGGTGGCGGATGTTGCCGTCGGTCATGCCGACCCGCTCGCCAATGTCCGCCGGCGTGAACAGGTCCCACTGTTCGATGCAATCGCGTATGTCGGGCAGATAACTCTCGAGTTGGTCGAGGAGGGCATTGCCGACATCCTGTTTATTCTCTGCCCATGAGCCGGCGCGGGGATGTGACGGCTCGAAGGTAACCCAGATCGACATCACGTGCTTGCCGGGAGGGGCGAGGGTCGGATCGAAAACGCTTGGGATCTGCAGTTGCATGATCGGGTAGCGAGTCGGAACCCCGTTCATCGCGTCGCGCCAACTCGCTTCGAGATAGTCGGCCGAAGGCATGATGCGGACCATGGCGGCCACCGTTTCGGCGTCGCTGGCGCGAAGGTACTTTGAAAAGTCGGGTAAACGGCTGAGGGCAGCGTGCAGTTTCAAAGACGCCGAGCGGGTCGAAAGGCCCTGCACTTTTTCGCCAAACCCCTGGAACCCGGCAGGCAGCGAACACGCGTCGATCAGCTTTGTAAACGTCGTTTTGGGGTCGGCGTTCGAGACGACGATTTCCGCCTCTATCTCTTCGCCCGTCTCCAGCCGCACACCGACGGCGCGCCCGTCGCGGACAATGATCGAGTCAACGGGAGCGCTCGTCCGGACCTCCACCCCCGCCTCCTGCGCGGCATTCGCCATCGCCTGCGTCACTCCGCCCATTCCGCCGCGGACGATCCCCAGGTCTTCGTCGGCGTCAGCAGGCTCATCTTGAAGTAGGCCTGAGCCAGCGCGCTGCCCGGCTCCGATATCGCCCCGTAGTCGCCGGAGCCGATGGCCGCCGCGACGATCCGTTGGTCTTCAAAATAGTCCTCGGCCATCGTCCGGACAGGGATATTCAGCAACCGTTCCCAGATCGCCTCGTACTTTGTTCCGGCCACGTCATTCGTAATTTCATCAAACGTCGGCGGCTCCGAGAGGAAGTACCTCTGGAGCAAGTCGGCCGCCTCCTCCCAGAACTCGATCCATCTCGGCCAGGCGCCCCGGTCGCGAGGGGAAATGAGCGCTATCTCTTCGTCGGTCCGCTCGTGATCGTGCCAATATCTCAGGCTGTCGCCGTCGGGATACACGATCAGCGCCGCCGGGTCGAGTGGGTAGATGTGCAGACCGTGGCGGCGCAGTTCCATGTCGTCGATGACACGGCGCTGCAGCATGTGGCAGACGTATGCGCAGGTCCCGATTCGATAACCGGGGAACAGTTCGTCGGTGACCGCCCCGCCGCCAACCTGTTCAGTGCGTTCCAGCACGGTCACGCCCATACCGGCCCGCGCGAGATAATATGCGGCGACCAATCCGTTGTGGCCTGCGCCTACTATGATGCAACTATCTGACTGCGCCATATTCGAACCCGCCTTGCGGGCTGTCGAAGTCCCGCGCCGGTCTTGTGGGGGAAACAGGGAGCAACACGTTGGTTGACCGACGCAGTCCTGAAAGATCGAACTGTGTCGGCGATTCTCTTTGCTCCGCAGACCCGGCGTGGAATACTACTACCCCGCGGAGCGCCCGCCTCGCCAATTGCCGAGATATTCAGGCCCGGGACCAACTATCGACTAGAGGACGGCCGAACGCGTAAGTCAGCATTGCCTATTGGCGTACAAAACAGAGGAAAAAAAGATGAACGGACCAGACATATACGACCGGCTCGGCGTCACAAAGGTGATCAACGCCCGCAGTTGGGTAACCGCCCTCGGCGGATCGATCATGAGGCCGGAAGTATTTGCGGCCATGGAAGAGAGCGGGACAGCACTTCGTCAACATGGACGAGTTGATGGCTGCCAGCGGCGAGGTCGTGGCGCGGGCGTGCGGCGCGGAGGCGGGCATGGTCGGCGCCGGCGCGGCGGCCGGAAACCTGCTCATGGCGGCTGCGGCCATCACCGGGACCGACAGGTCCAAGGTCGACCGCCTGCCCGATACGACCGGCATGAAAAACGAAATCGTCATCTTCAAGTCGCAACGAAATTCATACGACCGGACGTTCGAGACCGCGGGCGGCAAGCTCGTGGAGATAGGCATGCCGAAGACGGTGACGGCGTACCAGCTTGAAGCCGCCATCGGAGACGCAACGGCAGGAGTGGTGTACACGCTTGCGCCGTTCCTTCCGCGCCCGCTTTCCCTCGAAGAGACCATAGAGATCGCCCACGCATGCGGCGCGCCCGTCCTCGTCGACGCCTCGGCAGAGGTGCCGCCGGCCGACAATCTGACAAAACCGATAAGGGTCGGCGCCGACATGGTGACCTACTCAGGCGGCAAGGGCATCTGCGGCCCGCAAAACTCCGGTCTGCTGGCCGGTCGGGCAGATTTGATTGAAGCGGCGTTCATGAACTACCTGCCCGCAGGCGCGCCGCGCGCCGGCATCGCGCGCCCTGCGAAGGTGTCCAAGGAAACTATCGTCGGCCTGGTCACGGCGATCGAACTGTTCCTGGACTCGGACCACGAGTCGGTATGGGCAGGCTGGCGGCAGAAGTGTGATCACGTCGTCGACAAGGTCAGAGGAATCCCCGGCCTGCGGGTGGTGATTGAGGAAAACGAAACCGCCAGGGGCCGCAGCCGGTGATCTACCTCGAACCCGAGTGGAGCGGTCCGCCCGCGGAAGAAATACGCAGGCGTCTCACCGAAGGCGACCCGCCGATAATGATCGGCTCTGGTGGCTACGGGGACGAGCTGAACGTGGTGATGGTCAACGTGCGGCCTGGCGAAGAGAAGATCATCGCCGACCGCCTGCACGCCATCCTCACGTCCGACGACCGGGACGCGATCGCGATGCCGCGCCGCTCCGAACCCCGAACCGTATGCCAGGCTGGGCGTAAAGCCGGTCATCAACGCCCAGAGTTGGGTGACAGGGCTGGGCGGCAGTCTCATGCGGCCCGAAGTCCTCAGCGCAATGAACGAGGCGGCGGCCTGCTTCGTCGACATGGTCGAACTCAACCGGGCGGCGGGCAAAGTGGTGGCGCGTGCATGCGGGGCCGAATCGGGCATGGTCACCGCGGGAGCGTCGGCGGCCGGGACCATCGCCGTCGCAGCCTGCATGACCGGCGTCGACCGGGCGGTGGAGCAACTGCCCGACTCGACGGGCATGAAGAACGAGGTGGTGTCTTCTGGGGAGAGCGCAACCGCTACGACATGTCGTTCGAGTTGCCGGGGGCTCGGATCGTCGAATGGGGCGTGCCGGGCGCCGGCGCGGCCTACCAGCTCGACGCTGCGATCACCGATCGCACCTGCGCCGTGGCGGCCGTATTCCAGCCGCTGTTGAAACGCGGCCTGCCGGTGAGCGAAATGTGCGAGGTCGCCCACGCCGCAACGTGCCGGTGATCGTGGACGCCGCGGCCGAGGTCCCGCCGCTGGCCAACCTCACCCGCTTTATTGACGAAGGGCGCCGACCTGGCGTTCTTTCTCCGGCGGCAAGGGCATCGGCGGCCCCCAGAACGCCGGCCTGCTAGCCGGCCGAAGCGAACTGATGGAAGCTGCGTACGTCAACGCGCTCAACCTTGACGCGCCGCGGCTGGAGTGGCACGGGGGATGAAGGCGTCCAAGGAGTCGATCGTGGGCATGGTCACGGCGCTCGAACTCCTGATCGAAACGGGGGAGGACGCCCTGTACGGGGATGGATGGCAAGGCGCGCCATATTCACGGCCGCCTCGAACACATCCGGGGGCTTCGGGTCGTCATCGAAGAGACGGGGCCCGACCGGCATGGCCCGCAGCCGGTGGTCTACTTCGAACCGGGTTGGCGCGGGCCCTCGCCGGCGGAGGTACGCCAACGCCTGCTCGACGGCGACCCGCCAATATACGTCGGCATGGGCCACTACGCCGACGAGATCAATCTCGTCATGGTGTGCCTGCAAGACGGCGAAGAGGAGATCGTCGCCGAGCGGCTTCTGGAGATTCTCGGACACGGCCTAAGCTCGGGTTCGTGCGGTCGACCCGCTGCCCTAATCTCCCCGCGGGGGTGAGACGCCGGCCTTGTGGAAATCCCGTTCGTCTTCGACTGTCCTGAGGGACCGGGGCGCGTGGAACTGCCACAAGGTCGCTTGTACATGTGCCATACGGCGCAGGCGCTGAATAAAGCTCGGGCACCGTCCAGCATCGGGTACTTTATATTGAGTTCGGCGACTATCCTTCGCGGGTGGCCCGAAAGAGGACGCAGGGCAACGCGCGAACATCAAGACCCCTCTAAATCATGGCGCTCGAAATACATCAGTTGGAACCAGAGCAAATTGACCAGGCAGGAAGAGTCCTGGTGCACGAGACGGATATCGACAAATGGTCGCAATCCGCCCGCGTGATCAATACGTGGCGTGCCTCTCACGCCGGTCCGCTGAATACATTCAGGATGAATCTTCGCAGGCGAGTCCGAGGTCGGGGCTTCGTCGTGCAACGCCTCAAGCGCATGCCCACGATCATTTCGAAACTGAAAAGACTGCCGTGGATCCGTCTGTCGCAGATGCAAGACATCGGCGGTTGTCGTGCTGTGCTACGCACATCGGACAACGCGTATGACCTAGCCTCGGATTTCGTATCGAGCAGGATCCGGCACAAGTTGGTTCGCCACAAGAACTATATTGAGTATCCGAGGCATCCGGTTATCGAGGCATGCACACTGGTGTATGCCTACGACAGCGATCGATCAACGCATTGGCAAGGCTGAAGACCGAAATTCAAATCCGTTCCCTTCTCCAACACCAATGGGCGACAGCCGTCGAAACTGTCGGCACGTTTACGCGGAACGACCTCAAGTCAATCTCGGCAATGCGACCTGGCTACGCTTCTTCGCGCTTATGAGTACGGTGATCGCACAGCGTGAAGGAATGCCCGGCGTCCCGAACGTTCCAACAGCGACCCAAACTCTGCACGAGATCAAAGAGTGCGACCAAGAGCTCGGAATCTCCGAACAATTGGCTGCGTTCCAAGACTCACGCTTCGCCTTCGGTCTTATGACAAGGAACCAGTGGATCGGACTGCAACTGGACCTGTCGAACCAACGTTTTGGGATGGTTTTAGTTCAGGGGGACCTGGAGGCTGCAACCGACTGGTATGTGGAGAGGGAAGTTGAGAGCCGGGGGCGATTCACAAGTAGAGGTAGTTTTGGTCTCAGCTGCTTCGCTGTCGGCGCTCAGGCGGGCCTATCCGAATTACCTCGCGGACTTGGGCGGATTCAGGCGCCTGGTCCAGGAGACCGTTGAGCACCCGTAGCGGCCGACTCGCGAAGTCGCTTCTTTCGCCTCACCCTGGCCCTCTGGTCTCGGGCTGCAACCTTCGCAATGACCCGTTCGAATCTCTGGGCCGGCGTTTCAGCCGTTCGAGCGTTCTTCCTTTTGCCAGCCATAATTTATGTCCCCTGAGCCGACACGGCCCGCTGTAGTCGAATCACTACACACTGGACAATTGTCGCATATGCCTCAGGTGGTCAAGCAAGGGCAGAAAGGCAGCCGCCAGCCCGATAGGCGCGGCATAAATGTCGCAATGGAACTTGATCCGGCTACTCGCGGCCCTATTCCCCGCGCGGGGGTGAGACGCCGTGCTTGTGGAAGTTTCGTTCGTCCTCGACGGTCCTGAGGGGCCGGGGCGCGTGACGGCCGTATGTGTACTCTTCCAGCGCCGCCTCGTCTATCTCGATGCCGATCCCCGGTCGGTGGGCAACTCCACGTAGCCCTGGTCCGGCACAAGCGGCTTCACCATCAGCTTGTTGCAGACGTCCTGCAGGCCGTGGGGGTACTCGTACATCAGGAAGTTGGGTATGACGGCGGACGCCTGCACACCGGCCGCGAAAGAGATCGCCGCGCTGTTGGCGCCGTGTGGCGAAATGCCCATGTCGTACGCCTCGGCCATGGCGGCGATCTGCACGATCTCCAGTATCCCGCCCGTGTTCGAGATGTCTGGGTTGAGGTAGTCGGCCGCCCGTCGTTCGAACACCTCGACGAAGCCGCGCCGCCCGTAGATCGCCTCGCCGATCGTTACCGGAATGTTGAGGGCGTTCTTGACCTCGGCGATGCCCCTGATGTTCTCCGGCGGACACGGCTCCTCGAACCAGTAGGGCCGGTACTTCTCGATCATGCGGCCGACCATGATCGCCTCGATGGGCGATAGACGCCGGTGGACCTCGACGAGTATCTCGACGCGCGGTCCGACCGCCTCTCGCACCGCTCCGACCTTGGCGGCCGCCAGTTCGAGGTCGGCGTGATCCACGAACGAACGCCACGGCCCGGGGAACGGGTCGAACTTCAGGGCGTCGTACCCCAGTTTCACTGACTTGAGCGCGCTGTTTGCGCACTCCTCCGGCGTGTTGCCCGCCGCTCCGCCGCCGTAGACCCTGAGCGCCGGGCGAACCGCGCCTCCCAGCAGGTTGTAGACCGGCTGGTCGAGGGCCTTGCCGGTGACGTCCCACATGGCGATCTCCAACCCGCTCACTGCGCTGTAGACGTCCATGGAGCCGCGCTTGAGAAACATGTCCTCGTAGGCCCAGTGCCGGAAGTGGCCGATCTGCATCGGATCGCGGCCGATCAGGTAACGTTTCATCTCTTCGATGTGCGCCGTGATCGCCGTGTCGCGGTCGAGTTGCGTGTACGCCTCGCCCCAGCCGACGATTCCGTTGTCGGTGGTTATCTTGACGAACACCCAGTTCTTGGTCTGTGGCGGATGCACTATGAAGGTTTCGATGTCCTGGATTTTCACTTCGCCGCTCCTCTAGTCTGCGGGTTCGTATTGGTCGGGCCGCTTAGTCGGGCCGTGAGTTGCTGGGGACATGTTACGGCTGGCCCGCCCGGCGTAGAGCATGGCCGGGTGTAATCGCGCGATACTGTCCGTTTGAATGTGCACGCAGCGCGGCATGACAGCCGGACGCCGCAAAATCAGGGACAGGCAATGATCTACCGGACCCTTGGCCGAACCGGCCAGAAAGTATCACTCCTCAGCTACGGCACGGGCGGGCCGAGCGGGTTCGGCGCGCGTACCGGCGTCGACCGCTCGGGCCGTCGCCGTCTCATTCGACGGATGCTGGACCTCGGTGTGAATCTTTTCGACACCGCGGAGGGTTACGGAGAACTCAGAGGAGTGGCTGGGCGACGCCTTACAGGGAACGACCCGCGATTCGTACCTCATCGCCACCAAGTGGAGTCCTCCGGGCACGTTTCGCGTTGACGACCAAGAAAAGTTCACAGGGCTGGCCGAATCGTTCGAACGCAGTCTCAAGCGGCTCAGAACCGACTACATAGACATCATGCAGTTCCACGGGTGACCATGGCGACGTACAGCGCCGTCGTGGACCGCTATTACCCGATTTTGAAGGCACTGCAGGAGCAGGGGAAGATACGGTTCATCGGCGCGACGTTCCAGTTGAAGGCCGAGCCGCGGCACGAGACCGCGGTCCTCGCGCTGAGCACCGATCCGGGCTTATGGGACACGATCATGCTCAAGTACGGCTTCCTGAACCAGTGGGCGGCCAAAGAGGTGTTCCCGCTGGCCATCGAACACGGAGTGGGGCGTATCTCCTTTTCAACATGGCTGCGGTCCCGTATTTTTCACTCACCCTTTCACATTTCACCCCCAAAATTTTCAGTCACAGACCCCCCTTTTTTTCACTCACCCTTCACCCATGTTTTTCACACCCCTTTTCCATCCCCCTCACTCTCCCCTTCCACCTTCACTCCCCCCCGTTCCCCAACTCCCGCCCGATGTCACCTTTTTTCACCCATGCACCCCCCCACCCCGGCCCATTTGTATCTTTCGCTCTCCCCCTTTTCCTGTTCCCCCACCCCTTCCCCCCCGCTTGTCGATTCCCCGGTAGGCCTTCCGCCCCGATCGTTCCCTTGTTGGTTCAACCCCCCCCCTTTCCCCCCCTTTAGAGAGAAAGAAGGCAAGACCTTCCCAATCCCCTTTTTGTCTCCCCCTCCCACCTTTTTTTTTTCAATTATTTCACACTCAGAACCCTCAAAAACCCTTCATTTTTCACCAAAACACCCCCCTTTATTTTTTTCATTTTTTCAACACATTTCTTTTCATCACCTTTTCAACCCCTTAGGTTTTTTTTTTTTGTCAACCCTTTCCTCACCCCCCCACCCTCCCCTTTTTTTTCCCCAATTGTTTTCCATATATCCCTATTATCCCCCCTTATTCTTGCCCTCCCGCCCCTTTTCCCCTCCCCACAGTTCCCACCTTATCCACCGCCCCTCTTTTTCCCTTTCACCTCCCACACGACAAATTAATCCGACTACCCTCCCCCCTTCCGTCCGGACGAGTAATGTGTTCCCTCCCTTGATTCGCCTTATTTCCCTTATTTTCTTCCTGAATCCCTTGTCCCTTTTTTCCTTCCTTTTTGCCCCACAGCCAGCCCAGTTCCTCACCATGTTGTTTTAGGTTTATTATCCCGTATTTCGGACCTCGGCCCGCTTCTTTCTGTTATCCTTCCTTTTCTTTCACCCCCTGCACCCATCCGCCCCTCCCCGCGGCCCCATTTGTCACGCAAACCCTTTTCACCCCTTTCCACTCAGTTCTTCCAAAAACTTTCTTCAAAAACTTTTTTTCATCATTCATTTCACACCCACTTCACATCATCAATCCCCATTCACCTTTCCACCCCACTTTTTTTCACAACACCCACCTTCACCATTTTCACCTTTTCACCTCATTTTTTTTTTTTCACCACTTTTTTCACCGACTCTCAAATCACCCCTTTTCTTCACCCTCCCCCCTCACCCCCCCTGCCCCTCACATTTTTTTTTTATTTATCGCCTTTCCCCTCCCCTTCCCTTTCACTTTTTCCCCCCCTTTCACCTTTCATCACCTCAATTTCACCCACCCACCCCTCACATTTTTTCACAACATTTTTCAATTTCACTCACGCCTTTCATCATTCACTCACGCCCCCCCCACATTTTTCAGTTCAACCTTTTTTTTTGCCATTTCATTTCAAACCCCCTTCACAATCACACTTCACCCACTCCCTTTCAACTTTCACCCCCTCAAAAATTTCAAACTTTTCACCCCTCATCACCAATCCCACTTTGTTTTCACCTTTTTTTCAAACAAACCTTTCATTTTTCAACCAATTTTCACATAACTCATTCACCACTCAACATTTTTCCCATTTTCCCTTTGTTTCCGTCCCCCTTTTCCAACCAGCCCTCCCCCCCTTTCCCACTTTTCCTTTTTTTGTCACCCCCCACGCCTTTTAGTGTTTTTTCCCCACCCATTGGTACTCCTCCCCAGCCCCCTTCCCCTCCTCCCCTATCTCCTTTCCCCCTTCCCCCCCCCCCCTCCCTTTTTTCAATTCATTCACACCCTATCCCATCAATCATCGACAATTTTTTTCACGTTTCAATTTCAAACCTTTTCCACAATCCACCCTCACCTTTTTTTTCATTTTTTCATCACTTTTTTTTCATTCACCCATCCCATTTTCACTTTCACCGCCCCCCTCTCTTCCCCCCACCCACTCCCACACCCCCCCTCACTTTTTCACCCTCACTCACGCCTTTTTTTTATCAAACTACCTTTTCAATCAACACTCCACTCACCGCCCCTCAACGCACCCGGGAGGTCGTTGCCCAATGGAAAGAGGATGGCTTGATTGCGCCGGACGACCTGCCGGATGACGGCCCGTTCGACTGGCTATTGGGCGGCGATGTGGACTCGGTCATCTCCGCCGGATACAAGTTCGGCGCGGACCACCCGGCGGTTTCGACGGTGATCACGGCACGTCGAGCATCGAGCATCTCGAGGCCAACGCAAGGTCGCTCGAAAAACCTGCGCTGCCGCCCGAAAACCACGATCGTCTCGTCCGGCTGTTCGGGGATTCCGCCGAGCCGGATTAAACCCCGGATCGTCCGTACAAACCATAATTTTGAGAACGTCCGAAGATTGGAGTTCTGTGGGATCGGGAGGCTGCTCGACATTGCACGAAATCCTGGCGCACGAAAGCGGCACGCGTTCGGATTTGCTCACGCGCCTGTCCGGGAATGCCATTATGCGTCCTGTATGACACTCGTCGCAGTTATGTGTGCCTCAAGCATATGACGTGGTCGCCATGATGGCGAACTACCAGTCGCGATGAGGAAGCCCGACATGCATTCACGCATTTTGATCTCCATCGCCTTGCTCGCCGTCTTTACGATTGCGTTCGTCTATTGCACGAATGAGCAGCCACCAAAGACGGGGTCCCAAACGCAAAACACCCGAAGCCACCTCTGCGATTTCCAAACCGGCGCCGCCGATACTTGGAAAGAGGAAATTCCCCGTTCCCCCCAGCGCAGCTGGTGGAGGGCCCCCTTTGCAAGACCCGTGTGAGCCTGTCGCGGCCAGCAATATCTCCCGAAGGCTCATCAGATTCCGGGCCGAAACCTCCGATTATGCCTACCTCTTAACTCTCTATCTCTCTTACCTCTTAATCTCTACTCTTCTTCTTATCTCTTCTTTCTCTCTACTCTATCTCTCTAATCTCTCTCACTACTAAACTCTCTCTACTACTACTACTAAAAAAACAAAACTCTCTCTACTTCTCTCTACCTCCTCTAGCTACCTCTCCTCTCTCTACCTCTCGCGTCCTCTATCTCTCCCTCTACCTCCAATACTCTAAACCTCTCTCTACGATTTTCCCCACTCCCTCCCCTTTTTTCCCCGCTAATATCTACTTCTACTTCTCTTATCTACTAAAAAACGTAACTCTCTTCTACGATATTCCCCCCCCTTTCCACTTCCACCGTTCCCTCCCCCCACCGAGATTCCCACCGTGCGCCACAGTACCTGACCAGGAGATTCCCCCATGCGCGCCGGTGGAAGGCGCCTCCGTGGACCCGTGTGAGCCGGACGCGGCAGAAGAATCGTCCTTGGCCTTGGCCTCATTGAAACTTGGCCCGGACCTCGGAGTATAAGGTCTTATCTTGTTGGACGAGCCGACGGAATAACAGTAGCCCACGTCGTGTTGCGGGGCGCATACGTCCCCCGGCACGGAGCGTCTGCGATCTCTCAGCAGGGCGAATGGCATACCTACTTACCGCGGCGCTGAAAGGCAGATTGAGTATCTACCGTTCAAAGAGGTCAATTGCTACGCCGACGTGCGCGTAAACGCCTACATCATAGGCTCCGGACCGCCCACCCTGACCGTCCTGGCGCGAACGTTCCCCTACTGGGTATCTGAGACGCCGGAGAATATTGCTTATACGCGAAATACCGCTGAAGCAGCGCTCCTTGAGGGCGGGCATCACAACGAGGGCGAAGTGCCGGCCGGTGGGATTGCTGGAAGAGAGCATGTCCTGTTCCTCGACGTGTCGAGCGACCTCTCAGTCGAGGCATGGGAGGTGATCAGCACGTGGGACGTTCAACGGATTGAGGATGACACGGTGATTGCCGTCCATCCTCATAGAGACCTGTGGCGGCAATTCCATCCCGATGACTACCTGATTCACCTCTCGAAGCTCGAGATGGAGCTTCCCGCCTTCACCCTGGCGGCGACGGCCGCCCACCAGGCCCGCCTCACCGAATACGGCGGACGCACCGGTTCAGACACCAGGTTACCCATGCTCGTGACCGACGCCAATCGGATACGCCAGTACTACACCGTAATCGGCGCCTACAACCACCCGGACGGCCCGCCGATCCAACCCCCACCGCCGTGCGGTCTCACCGTGCCCAACCCGGCAGACAACCCCGGCCTAATGCTCGACTGTATGCCTTTGCTGGCAGCGAAAGGCACGCTCGCCGGTACCGCGACGTTGGACTGGAGCGTAGATACTGCGGTAACAGGCTGGGAAGGCGTCACCGTGGCGGGCAGCCCCAGACGCGTGACCAAGGTTCTGCTATCGGACGAGAGCCTGAGCGGGACCATCCCATTGGAACTTGGGGACCTCTCCGAGCTGACCCACCTTGACCTTAGCTCGAACTCCCTGACCGGGGAGATACCGAGAGAACTGGGCAGACTTTCGAACCTCCAGGAGATCAGGCTGTCGGGCAATTTGCTGACGGGCTGTATACCGGTGGCGTTGAAGGATGTGCCTACCAACGACCTGAGCTCCCTCAATCTTCTCGACTGTCCGCCGGCGCCGGAGGGCCTGACCAGTAGGGACTCCCGGCGAGACCAGCGTGGTCTTGAGTTGGACGGCGGTATCCAACGCCGACAAGTACCGCGTGGAGCACCGCCTCCGGAGTACGCGCTATTGGGTAGTGGATGCCGGTACCCGCGACTGGGTAGTGGCCGATGACACACTGACGGCGACGTCCCACACGATGTCCGGTCTCAACTGCGAGTGGGAATACAGTTTCCGGATAAGCGCCTACGGCAATGGGACCGACTACGGGGCCGACTGGAGCGAGCCCTCGGATTTCCTTTCGTCGACCGGCGGGGAGTGCATTCCGCCGACATTTGACGCCATTTCCTACTCCTTCAGCGTGCCTGGGGACACCCCCACTGGGCACGGTAAGTTGGCGTCGTCCACGGCCAGCGGCTCCGGCTCCAACGACCCGGTCACCTACTCGATCATCGGTGGCGACGAGGACGGCAAATTCGACATTCCACACCATTCGGGGGAGATCACTGTAGCGGGCGATATCAGCTCGAATGCCGGCTCTTCGGTCGACCTCACAGTGGAGGCGAGGGACGAGAGCGGCGGTGCGGCAACAGTTACTGTGACCGTGGCTGTGACGCATACGGGTTCCACGTGATCACGGGCTCTTCAAGCATCGAGCATCTCGAGGCCAACGCAATGATCGCTGCGAAACCCGCGCTACCCGCGCGAGCACCACGAGCGTCTTGTCTCGTCGGTTATATCGGGAGTTCCGCCGAGGCTGATTGATCTGCGAGCCGTACAAATCCGGCCTGATTCCAGGTCGAGTTGATGGCCGCCACATTGACAGACCGAGGCTGGTTTGGAAGCGGGTTCCGGCTAGGGGGTTGGATGACGGGCCAGATGGGGTGTGGAGGTGTACTAAGATGGCCGATTTTATTTCTGTGTGGGGGTATCCGCGCCCCGTCACCCCTGGTTTCCGGATCAGGTCCGGAATGACGGTTGTGGTGGTCGCAGGTGGCCGTTTGTAAGTGGTTGAAGGGGTATCCGCGCTGCCCCGGCGGACAGCCGCAAGAGACGCCTTTTCGAGCGGAACCGGCGGAGCAATCAATACGGACTCGATTTATTGACGCTCGCTAGGCTAGGTGGCTCATCGCCTGGTCCACGATGTCCATGCCGGCACGCTCGGACCACGCCGCCAGGATCTGCTTCGTCACCGGTCCGGGTGTGTCGGCCCGCAACGGGTTGCCGTTGATCTTGCCCACCGGCAGCGCGCAGTAGCTCGTGGTCGTCAGAAACGCCTCGTCGGCGTTGTAGGCGTCATACGGCGTGAGGGTCTCCTCCGCCGTCGGAATATCGAGGTCCCGCGCCAGTTCCAGCACGGTTTGGCGGCTGATTCCCGCCAGAACGTTTACGCGCCGGGGCCGTCCGAATCACGCCGTCGGTCACCACGAAAAAGTTGCCGCCGCTTGTTCTCGGACAGGTTTCCATCGACATCCAGAAGCACAGCGTAGGCGGCCGGGTCGATCTGCTTCGCCTCGATCTCGGCCATCACCAGATTCATCCGGCTTATCGTCTTCAGCCTGGCGTCGAGGGCCTGCGGCGGGTCTCTGCGCGTAGTTGGGAAGACGACGTGCGCGCCCGTGTCGTACAACTTGGCGTACGAAGCGAAAACGATCGGCGTCATCTTGACCACCACGGTCGCCCGCTCCGGCTCCAGCAAAGATGTCCCCGACCCGCGCGAGATCATCTGCGTTACCCAATAGTCGCCGTTCGGTTGACGCATCCGGTCGTTGCGGCGCGCCAACTCCTCCGTGATCGACTGCAGTTCCTCTATCGATATGCCCGGATCGATGCGCACCATGTGAAGGGCCTTGTACAGCCGCTCCAGGTGTTCCCTCAACCGGAACACCTTGCCCGCGAATGTCCGCTCTGTGTCGAAAACCGCATCGCCGACCGAAAGGGCGCGGTCCAACACCGATATCTTCGCCTCAGAGGTCGGTACAAACTCGCCGTTGACGTATTGGATCAACTCTTGCATTGGAATCACCCCGCTGTACTAGTGCGTACGGATTGAGTGGATTTTAGGCCATTCGGCAGCCCGGGGCGCAAGTGCTCGGCAACCTATTCCGTCGCCTCTTCAGCGCCCCCGCCAAATCGCCGCGCGGCTCGACGGCCGTATGTCGCAGACCGAGCCACTCCGCCATCGACGCCAGTTCCCGCGCCAGCGCCGCCGATACGTCGCCGGCCGTCGCAGCCGAGCTCGCGGCTTCCACCAGTCGCGGCCTGAACCAGCAAGACGCCTGCGGAACGGTCTGCCTTCAGATCGACCTCGCTAGCGAACGACGAGTTCAACACCGGCGTGAGAAACGGTCGACACAGTATGCCGTACCGTCTCTTGGGCTTCGGAACGTATATTTCGATGCGATACAAGAAGTCGAAGAGCCGTTCCGTCCGGTCCCTGAACCAGACCAGGGAGTCGAACGGGCTTACGATCGCCGTCGCGCCGGCCTTACGCGGCAGCCGGGCGTCCTTGTGCATGTAAGCGGGCTGAGGCCAACCTTCAACGCTTGCCTCGTTCAGCACTCCCTCTTCGACCAGTCCTGCACCCGGGGCCGCGCTTCAGGAACCTGACTCGATAGTATGGCGCCATGTCGCCATCGTCCCATCCCGAGGGCCTCGGCGCCGAGTCTGAGCATCTCGCGTTGCGCGTCTGGACGAGACAGCGGAGGCATTTCAAGAAACCTTGGCGGAATCACCCTTCGGCCAGGTCGTAGACGCGGGTGAAGTTCCCGCGCCTGGTCGCGGCCAGCGAGCCGTTGTGAAACAACCACTCCAGCGCTATCTGCCCTTTGCTCAGCGTTCCCACCACGGGTCCGTTCGTTCCTCTCCGCTCGTGGAGGTCGGACACGGTCAAGGGGCCGCGTGCGGCCACCTGTTCCCGCACCGACTCGATATAGCCCCGCTGCTCTCGTATGAGGCCCTCCAACTGCGGCCAGGGGCGCGCCGCTTCCATACGATGCCGAAGCAGCGGATAGTGGTCCATCGGCATGAGCGATGCCATGTGGCCCCAGCCCTCAAAGAGCCTCGATTTACGGTAGGCGTGATCGTCGAGTTGCTCACGAGGATAGGGTCCGAGCCGCGAGAACGCCGGCATGTAGTGCGTACGCACAGCCACGTTCACCGAGTCGAGTTGCAGCAGCTTTACGTGCCTGAGCAGCCGGTCGTAGTGCCGGGCGTCGACCCGCCCAGAGGGCCGCTTCCCTGTGAATCCCTGGGCAGTGAGGGCGATCCGGCGGGCTTCGGCTCGGCTAAGCGTGACTTTCATAGTCGGACGATTGATGAAGTACGACGCGGCTGACCGGACTGCCAAGGCGGGCAACTGCGCAACTCATGGCCAAGGGGATCACGGTCTTACAATGCTGCCATCGGCGCGCCGGACCTCGTTCCACGCTCCCCCGAACCCCCATTCGCTATGCGGAAACTTCGCAGCAAGTTCCTCGTCGATGTCGATGCCCAGACCGGGCTTGCCGTTTGACCACATGTGGCCGTCCCGGACCTCGGGGCATCCGGGGAAGACCTCTTGCGTGCGTTCGCCGAAGATGGCGTATTCCTGCACTCCAAAATTCCAGCTATTCAGGTCCATCATCAGGTTTGCGGCGTGGCCGACGGGCGACGTGTCCCCCGGCCCGTGCCACGCCGTTCGCACCCCGAACATCTCCCCCATCGCAGCCAACTTACGGCACGGTGTGATCCCGCCCATCTGCGAAAACGTGGATCCGTATGAAGTCGATCAGCCGGTCCTTGACCATGGGAATCACCTCGTGCGGGTTGTTCCACAGTTCGCCCATCGCCAAAGGTGTGCGCATAGCTGACGGACCAGCCGGAAGTAGTCCTGGTCCTCCGGCGAAAACAGGTCTTCGAGGAAAACAGGCGGTACTGCTCGACCTCTTTGGCGAACCAAACGCCGTCGATCGCCGGGATGCGCTCGTGGACATCGTGCAGCATCTCGAAGTCCCATCCGCACTGTGAACGAACGAGTTCGAACAGCCGCAGGGCGCTGTTCATGTATGGCTTCGGCTCGAATATGCCGGGTGGGTGCGCATACCGCTTGCTCGGGCGAAAGTTCCTTGTTCCAGGTGGTTACCTGGCGAGGCCCCCCGCCGGCCGCCGCACCGGTTTCGGCCTTTTTCTCCAGGCCCTTTGTGCCGTACGTCGCGTAGCCGGGCGTGTCGACCTGGACGCGGATGTGATGGAATCCCTGGTCCATGAAGGCGCTCACCTTGTCCGCCACCTCGGCTGGTTCTCGGCCGCTTGCGTGCACGTAGACCGCGGCGGCTTCCCGCGCACGGCCTCCCAGGAGGTCGTACACCGGCATACCGGCCATCTTGCCCTTGATGTCCCACAGGGCCTGGTCCACCCCGCTCAGCGCGTTGTTGAGGACGCCGCCGTTGCGCCAGTACGAACTGACGTAGCTCGATTGCCAGATGTCCTCGATGTCGCTCACGTTCCGACCGATCAGAAACGGGCGCAGATAATTCTCCACCGCCACCTTGACCGGCAGGGTCGCTGCGTGAAGGTGGCGCATCCGACCCCGTAGAGGCCCGGGCTCGCTTGTCTCCACCTTGACGATGACCAGACGTATGCCGTCCGGCTCGGTCAGGATGACTTTTATGTCTCTGATAGTGACGGTGCTCACGTGAATCTCCTCGTCCGGGCGTTTTTTGCTTGCTGGATTTCTCTACCGCCTCGCCGGGAATTACGGTCGGACAATTGCGCCATCGGCCCTTCGAACGAGTTCCCTGAACATATCCCGCTCCGGTATCGGATATTTCGCCGCCAACTTCTCGTCGATGTCGATGCCGAGTCCGGGTCGTTTGCCGTTGGGCCACATGTGACCGTCCCGCACCTCGGGGCAGCCGGGGAAGACCTCGCGGGTCCGTTCGGGAAACACAGCCCACTCGTGGACGCCGAAATTCCACGTGTTCAACTCCAGCATCAGGTTGGCCGCGTGTCCAACCGGGAAGTGCCCCCCGGCCCGTGCCACACTGTGCGCACGCCGAACAACTCGCTCAGCGCGGCGTACTTGCGGCACGGCGTCAGGCCGCCCACACGCGAGACGTGAATCCTAATGAAGTCGACCAGGCGGTCCTTGACCATCGGGATGATCTCGTGCGGGTTCGACCAAAGTTCCCCCATGGCTATGGGAGTCGTGCATATTTGCCGCACCTGCCGGAAGTAGTCCTGGTCCTCGGGCGTGAACAGGTCTTCTAGGAAGAAGAGACGGTACTGCTCCACCTCCTTGGCGAGCCATACCCCGTCGATCGCAGGGATGCGTTCGTGGACGTCGTGCAGCATCTCGAAATCCCATCCGACCTTGCTGCGAAGGTGATCGAACAGGCTGAGGGCAGAGTTCATGTAGGGCTTCGGTTCGAAGATGCCCCCGCGCCATGACGTCACGGCCCTCGGCCCGCCCATCGTTCCGGCGCGCCCATCCACCTCGCCGCCGCCGTGTGCGCCGTAGGTCTGGTAACCCGGCGTTTCGACCTGCACCCGCAGGTAGTGGAAACCCTGTTCGATATAGTCCCCGGACCTGGTCTTCCACAGCCTCGTTGTCCAATCCGCTCGGGTGCACGTAGACCGCGGCGGCCTCCCTGGCGCGGCCGCCAAGCAGGTCGTACACCGGCATGTTGGCCAGCTTTCCCTTGATATCCCACAGTGCTTGATCGACACCGCTGAGAGCGTCTCCCAGTATCGTGCCGTTGCGCCAGTAAGAACTGACGTTGGCGGACTGCCATATGTCTTCTATATCGGAGACGCTGCGGCCAATGAGAAACGGACGCAGATAGTCATCCACCGCGGACTTTGACCGTGAACGGTTGCCGGTCGTACGTCGCGCAGCCGAGGCCGTACAGGCCGGGCTCGGTGGTTTCGACCTTGACGACGGCGAGGGCGTTGTTGTCCGGCTGAGTCAGGATCGTCCGGATGTCGCGGATTTTCGGGTCGCTCAAAAGGTGTCCTCCAACGCCCCGCCTATTGTCGGGCAGGCACGGCGGATTTTAGCTCCGCGTTCCCGTCGCGAAACGACCGGCACCGGGCCGAGCGCATCCGGGTCTGGCTCAGGCCCGCCTATGGACGCATAGGGCCGGGCTCACGCGTCCGGCACAACGCGACGAGCGGTTGGGATCAGCGCCCACCCACGGGCCGGACTATCTCAACCTGGTCGCCGTCGCAGATCGTGACATCGGCAAATTGTCCCCGCGGTAATACGTCGCCGTTGATGGCAACAGCCAGGGATCGGTTGGCGAGACCCCGATCCTCGAGATAGTCGACTACGCGTGTAGGGCCGTCGAGTTCGTATAGCTTGCCGTTAATTGTTATGGAGATCATTGGGTGTCATCATTCGACCCGCGCTGATCGATGTGTTTTGCGATTGCGGCCGCCGCAAGACGCGGGTCTTTGGCGGCAAGTATCGCGCTAATGCAGGCCACGCCGCGCGCGCCGGCGCCCATCACGCGGGCCGCGTTCGACGCGTCTATACCGCCTATGCCTATGACTGGCAGGTCAACCATTCCGACGATGCTCCGGATGATGGCGGTCCCGCTTGCCGTTCCGCCGGGGTGGGATGGAGATGGGTACACGGTACCGGCAATCAGGTAGTCGGCGCCCTGCCCCGCGGCCGACGCTGCCGCGGCCCTGCTATGCACCGAACGGCCAACGAGAGCTCCGGGCCCTGCGATTTGCCGCGCCGTCGAAACGGGCATCGCCGATTCCGGCAGGTGCACACCGTCCGCGCCCGTCTGCGCCGTCAACTCGGGGTCCCCGTTCACTACGAACACCGCTCGATCCCTGGTTACTTCCCGAACGGCCTTGGCCAAATCGGTTCTCGCCCGCCCGGTCGTGGCGCGGTCGCGCAACTGGACCATGTTGACGCCGCCCTGAATCGCCGCGTCGATGGCGTCAATCAACTCCCGGGGCGGCATATGCGGACCCGGCCCGGCGACGAGGCACAGGACGCGATCCGGTACAAGCAGGGTCGACTTTGGGCCCATACGGACGCGATCGCCTCACACCGGCGGGATGCGGTCAGCCGCTCCGCCCGGCGGCCACCGCCACGCCGGCGGTCGGGCTGCTTGGGGAGGCCTGTTCCCGTATGGGTATGCGGCCAGCCTGGTATGCCATCCTGCCGGCCTCGACACCCAGCTTGAACGCCTCGCCCATGGCGCCCGGGTCGCCTGCCTGCGCGATCGCCGTATTCACCAACACGCAGTCCGCGCCCATCTCCATGACCAGCGACGCATCCGACGGGACACCCAGCCCGGCGTCGACGACGACCGGAACGCTGGACTGTTCGATGATTATCTGGATTTCCTCGGAGGTCAGCACACCGCGGCCTGACCCTATCGGCGACCCCAACGGCATGACCGTGGCGCATCCGATGTCTTCGAGCCGCATGGCCAGGACCGGATCAGCGTGGATGTACGGCAGCACCACGAAACCTTCGGCAATAAGCCGCTTCGAAGCCTCGTACGTGCCTACAGGGTCCGGCAACAGGTACTTCGCATCCGGAATCACCTCCACCTTGATCCAGTTCGACCCCGTCACCTCTCGCGCCAGGCGCGCCGTGAATACCGCTTCATCGGCGGTCTTCGATCCGGCCGTGTTGGGAAGAATCCGGTAGCGGTCCCAGTCGAGGTGGTCGAGCAGCGTTTCCTGGTTCGGGTCGTCGAGGTTGAGCCTTCGGATCGCTACGGTAATCATCTCCGTGCCGGAGCGCTGGACGGAATCGAGAAGGTCTTGCTTTGAGCGGTGCTTGCCAGTACCGGTTATCAGGCGTGACTTGAAAGTGACGCCCGCAATTACTAAATCATCATTCATGGTGTTATCTCCGTACTCTCAGGAATGGAGCATGCGCGGGGCGCGTCCTCACCCTCCGGGCGAGGACTCTTAAGCAAAGAGACACCGCGTATCTCAGCGGTGTCTGCGGATGCTTCCATGTACTCCCTCCGCTGGCATTACCCAGATCAGGTGGTGGGGTCGGCGCAATTTCCCGCGCCCTCTCAGCCCGAATTCTCGAGCTCCCCCGCACCCCCGCCGTTAACAGGGGGTGAATCATTACAAGCGTAGCGTAGATTGGGACCAACGGCGCGTCAATTCCGGTTAACTTGCGGATTTGGGCAGGCGGGGCGGATTCCGCCGATGGGAAATTCCGACTATGCGCGAACGTGAGAAAATGCCACGATAGGCAGGCGTCAGGAACGCAGGTCTGAATTTGGAGACGAAAAATGGGAAGCAGGGTCATTTATTGGGGAGCAATCGCGGATCCGCGAACAGTGCGGGCGCGGGCATTGGTCCCTCAGGACCTGGACGTTACCTTTGTCGATCCCGCGTACGGAGACGTCAATCGTGACCGTCAACTGGCCGACTGCGAATTCCTGATCGTGGGGGTCGGCGGTATCGGCGAGGAGACCATGCGCTTCATGCCTCGTCTCAGGACGCTGCAGATCCTGAGCGCCGGATTCGACAAAATCGACGTGATCGGCCTGCGCGAAAGGGGCGTAGAGAGTCTGCAACAACTCCGCCGCCATCGCCAACTCGGTCGCAGAACACGCCATCATGCTCATGCTGGCCGTCTACAAACGCGTCTCGCGGTCCATCGAGGGCGCTCGCGACGGCAGGTGGCAGGCGCCGGCAAAGACCGGCCGTTACGGGCAACTTTTTGAACTCACGCACAAGACCGTAGGTATCGTCGGAGTCGGCCACATCGGCTCGCTTGTTGCCCGGCGGCTGCGGGGTTTCGAGACCACGACCCTATATCACGACGTTCGGGCGCTACCGCCCGATATCGAGCGCGAACTGGAGGTCACCCGCGTACCATTGGACGAACTGCTGGAGCGGTCCGACATAGTCACTGCGCACATGCCCCTGAACTCGGCGACCCGCGGGATGTTCAGTTCCCGCGAGTTCAATTTGATGCAACCACAGGCGATTTTCATCAATACGTGCCGGGGCCCGGTGCACGATGAAGACGCCCTTATTGCAGCGCTGAGTAACGGGGACATTCGGGCCGCAGGGCTCGATGTGACGGAGGTCGAGCCGACACCGGCGGACAACCCGCTGCTGAACATGGAAAACGTAATCGTCACGCCGCATATAGCGGGTTCGACCGAGGAACGCGTCGATCGGGCCCTCGAATTTTCGTACGGCAACGCGCGGCGGGTTCTGAACGGCGACAAGCCGCTGAGCCCCGGTGGTTATCCAGGACTGAGTCAGCCGCGTCCGTGTTCAAGCCATCCGGCATTTTGATTGATCTCGACGGCACGTTGATCGACACGGACGACCGGTGCTCCCCGGTCGTTGCGAGGGCGGTGAGGCGGGCCGCGAAACGAATACCTGTGGCCATCGCATCCGGTCGGGAACCGGACGAAGTCTCCCACTTCGCACGGATGCTCGGGCTCCAACTGCCGCAGGTCTGCGATAACGGCGCACGCCTCGTAGATCCCCTGACCGGCCGGTCCCTGCAAGATAGTCCAATGCCCGAGCCTGTGGCCCGTGGATTGATCGATTCGATCTGCGCCGCCGGCCTGGGTTTCTACGCCGTCGAAAATGGCCGGATGGTGAAAACTAAAGACGGCTTCAGGGAATGGGCCGTCACGATCATTGCTGCCAATGCAGGCGACGAAAGCACAGCCAGATCTTTGGCTCACAAGTTGGCGTCGGACGAGACCACCACGGAACTATCTACCAACCCCGACGGCACGTTCTGGTACGTGAACTTCGTGCGCCCCGGCATCGACAAGGCCCACGGGGTCCGGCAATTTGCAGAAACCCAGAGGCTCGATCCACGGGAATTGATGGCGGTCGGCGACGGCCTCAACGACGTGTCGATGTTCAATTTGGTGGGCCTGCCCGTAGCCATGGGAAACGCGTCGGAAGAGGTCAAACGGTACGCCGGATTCGTTGCCGGGAGTCTGGCAGACGACGGTCTGGCCGAAGCCATCGAACGCTTCGTGCTCTAGCCTCGTTCGCCGGTGTCGCGGATGTCGGTGTCATCCCCCCGCAGGGCACTTACACTCGCCGCCAGTGCCGCCTGCCCAGACTCGTAGCTCGCGGCGCACGGCAGACCGGAAGCGGCTCCCATACTCCCCAACGTTTCGGTACTTCTTCTGCCGCCTCCGCACGAGAGTTCGTCGCCGCTTGTCCCGCAGTTCTATGAGCGCCCGCATGAGGCTCCGCTTAAGCAGCCGGGCAGCCTCGTCCAGCGAGCCGTCAACCGGTTCAGGCACGACCAGGTCCACGATGCCCATATTCAGGCAGTCCACAGACGTGAGTTTCAGGGCCCTCGCCAGTTCTTCTGCGCGGGCGGCGTCGCTCAACTCGGTCTCGGCGCCCTCTTCCGGTGCAATAGGGGTGTAGATGGCGTTTTGCTGCATCAAGACGATGTCGGCCACACCGAGGGCCAACGCAGCCTCGCTGCCTCCCTCACCTATTAGCACGGAAACTGTTGGGACCTCCACGTTGGACATGGCGTCTATCGTTCCGGCAATTGCGGCCGCTATGCCGTGCCGCTCTGAGTCGAGTCCGATCCTGGGACCCGGAGTGTCCACGAGTGTGATCACGGGGAGGGTGAAACGTTCGGCCAGTTTGATGGCGCGTGTCGCCTTGCGGAATCCCTCGCTGGTGATGCGGCCCTCTGTCTCCCAGCCATGGTCGCCGTCCGGCTTTTGCCTGGCCGGATTGCTTCTGCTGGCCTATTACGACCACCGATTCTCCGGCCAGCCTGGCAAGTCCGACCACGATCGAAGGATCATCGCCGCGCAGCCGGTCGCCGTGAAGTTCGATGAAATTTGCGAACACCCGGTCGATGTAGTCCCGCGCCTTCGGCCGATTGGGGCGCCGGGCATTTTGTACCATCTCCCACGGCTCGAGGGGCGCAATGCTGGTCTCGACGGGCTTCATGCGCCGAGACGTAGCCAGTTTGAATTCCGGGGTGATGAGGTCCAGGATGGACGCAACCTCGTGCTTCAGGCGCTGCCGGCTGACCACCCGGTCTATGTGGCCATGGGCCTGGAAGAATTCGGCCGTGTAGTCGTGTTGGGCGCGCCTGGGTCCATTTCCGCCCTGCTCGGCTCTGAACGGCGCGAACCCCATCTGAGCGCCCGGCTCTGCGAATATGATGTCGGCAAGGGAGGCGAAACTGGCGAGAACCTGGCCGGTACATGGGTTTCCCAGAACGGCGATCAACGGCATGCCCTTGCTGTGCAAGGAGTTGAGCGCCACCACCGTCTTCGCCATCTGCATCAGCGAAAGCACGCCTTCCTGAATACGCGCGCCCCCGCTGGTGACGACGGCCACGACCGGCAACTTCTGTCGGGCCGCAAGTTCGAGCGCCAAAGACACCTTTTCGCCCACCACGAGGCCCATGCTGCCGCCGAGGAAGCCGAAATCAAGGACGATGACTACTGCATGAGTGCCGCCGACGTAACAGGTGCCCGTGACCGCGGCCTCGGCCAGGCCCGTGCGGGTCTGGTCCTCGAGCAGCCTGACTCGATAGGAAATTCTGGGTGAGAACTCGAGCGGGTCAAGCGACTGAATCCACTGGCTGGTCTCCTTGAAGCTTCCTTCGTCGGCGAGCATGGCGATTTTTCCGACGCGCCGAGGTGGTGTAGTGGAACTTGCATCTTGGGCAGACGCGCAGTCGCCGGTAGAGCCGGGACTCGGTAAGGCCGACGCCGCACGCAAGGCAGTTCGGCCTGGGACGTTCGAGATCAAGGACCGGCCGGTCTGTCAGTTCCTGTTCAGGCCGCTCCTCCGGAAAGAGGGGCGTGACGTTGCTCATTTGTGGCCCTTCCGCATTTGCAGTTGTGAGAGAACAGGTACTTAGTTCAAGTCTTACACATAATCCAGCGCCCGGAATCCACATACGCGGGCAGGTTTTCCCACATCGGGAATCTTCCGCGCCTTCGCATCCGTTCCCTTGCGGCCAAATCAGGTGGACGGATGGGGTTTGACGGCCATGCGGCCGTGGATGTACCGGTTTCGCTACAGGACCTGTCGCGGTTTGCCCGCCTCGCCCGGACCCACCACACCTTCGTCTTCCAGCTCATCCATCAGCCGGGCTGCCCGGGGGTAGCCGATCCGCAGTCTGCGTTGCAACAACGAAGTGGATAACGTGCGTTGAGACTTAGCCAACGAAACGGCGTTGTCGAAGAGGGAGTCGCCTCCGCTGGGCGCAATGTCGACCGAACCTGACTCCTCATCGAAGTTGACCTCCAGCATGGGCATTTCAGGACGGTCCGCTTTTCGCCAGTAGTCGACCACCGCCTCCACTTCGTCGTCGCCGAGAAACGCTCCCTGTACTCTGAGCGGTCTTGCCCTGTCGACCGGCAGGAACAGCATGTCGCCCTTGCCCAGCAGTTTCTCTGCGCCGGGGCTGTCGAGAATGGTGCGGGAATCGATCTGGGACATTACGGAGAAGCTGATTCGGCTTGGGAAGTTGGCCTTGATCAGCCCGGTCACAACGTCCACGGACGGCCGTTGTGTAGCCACGACCAGGTGAACGCCCGTCGCCCGGCCAAGCTGTGCAAGGCGCACGAGCAGCCGTTCCACGTCGTTGGCGCCGGTGAGCATGAGGTCTGCCAGTTCGTCGACCAGGATCAACAAGAACGGCATCTTCACGGACGATTTTGCGTTGAATGCGGCGATGTTCCTGACGCCGGCCGATTCCAAAAGCCGAAACCGCTCCATCATCTCCTGGACGAGAGAGCGCAAAATCACGATCGCCCGCTCCGGCTCCACGACGGGTTCGGTATACAGATGAGGAATCCCGGCGTACGGCGTGAGTTCAACCCGCTTGGGGTCGATCATCACCATTCGTACCTGCTCCGGAGTGCGGTTCATCAGCAGGCCCACTACCAGGGCGTTGATACACACGCTCTTGCCCGATCCGGTCGCGCCTGCGACGAGAAGGTGAGGCATTCGCGTCAGGTCGGCGATCGCCGGCTGGCCGCCGGAGTCGAGTCCCAGGGGCACGGGCAGCCCCATATTCGGATGTGCGGACTTGTACGAGTCGACGTCCATTACCGACTTGACCGTGACCGGCGCCGGGTTCGTGTTCGGCACCTCGATACCGACAACCGATTCGCCCGGCACCGGCGCTTCGAATCGGAGGTTAGGAGGATGCCAGCGCCAGCGCCAGGTCTTTTTCGCGGTTGAGGATCGTGTCGACCCTGACCCGCTGTGTGCCTGATTTCTGACCGCCCTCACCCTTCCAACCGGGCTTCAGTCCGTACATCGTCACGGTAGGCCCAACCCGGACCTGGTCCACGGAGACATTGATTGTGTGTTGCCTCAGGGTTTCGACGATCAGTTCTCCTGTCGCCGTCAGTTCGGACCTCGAAACTCCTCCACCGGAAGCGGACTTGAGCATTGATAGTGGTGGGAGCTTCCAGGGGAACGGAGGAATTCCCAGCGCGGTCGCACCGGGGGCCGGAGCCGCCGGGACCGGTCCTTCTTGAACGCCGTCCAACTCGTCCAATTCGGTAACTTCGTTCACCTCGACGAGGTCCGGCACGTCCACGTCGCCGAATCCGTTGATATCCGATGAAATGCCCGGGATCAACCGCCAACTCGATTGAGTCTTCGACCAATTCGGCGCCGACAATGTTCATGTCGTGGGCCATGGCGGGAACGGCCTCGATCTTTTCCTGCCGGCGGGCAGCGCGCGCTTCGCGCCATTCGCCGAATTTAGCCGTACTCCACGCCGCCGACGCCATCAACGCAGATGCGACATAACCCGCGCCGACCCATGCGCCCCGGCCTGCCACGACGGCGCCGTGAGGCGATATGACCGCCCCGGCCAACAAGACGAGGACTCCCACCCGTAAGCCGGCGAGGGCATACTGGCCGGTTGAAACCCCGTAGGCGTCCCACTCAGAGGGCCAGCGCGACAGCAACTCGCCCACGCGCCCGCCGAGAGACTCGTCGGCGTAGAACGCTCCCGGCGCGGCAACTATGCCGAGCGCGGCCGATGCCGCCAGCGCAATCAGCAGTCCGGCGGTCAGACCGCGGTACCACCCCAGGATCAGCCGAGGCCGGCCGTTGGCAAGATAAAGGAATACTGCGAGCCAACCAAGAAGCGGCGCTGCGCTCCAACCAAGCCAGGAAACAAACTGTTCCCGAACGACAAATGCGACAACCAGACCGGCCACGACAATCAGCGCAAGGAACCTGCCGTGCTGCGTCATGAGCAACCTGAATGTCGCGCCAGCGATTTTCCCAAGCTTTGATTTCACTAGATAAATCCCAAGCAGGAGTTAGTCGGCCAGCCTGGCCGGGCTCACGGCGTTATTGGTCGCCGGCAGGCTGCCTGGGCAGAGTCGTTCCGCGGCCCGAAACGAACCGCCTAGACGTCTACGGGGACCAGAATAATAAGTGGGCGGCGACGGGTTCGTTTTCCCAGGAACCGGCCGGCCGCCGCCCTGAGTTGCTGTTCAATCTGCGTCCACTTTATTGATTCGCTTCTCGCCCGGTCAAGGATGGGAGAAAGCGCGTCTTTGGTGTCTTTGAAAAGGACATCGGACTGATCGGAGTGAACGAACCCGGCTGAGACGAATTTCGGTTCGCCTTTTATTCGACCGTCGCGCCCTCGGGCCAGAGAAACGACCACGATTCCGTCTCGGGCGAGGGAGCGCCTTTCTACCACGACGTTTCCGGATTCGTCCCACATACCGAGGCCGTGGACGAACACGTGCCCCGCCGGGAGCCGGTCGATGATCTCACCCCCCGTTGCGGAAAGCTCGAGATGGTCGCCGTCGGTGAGGACAAAGACATTCTCTTCGGCCACGCCATGATTCATTGCCAGTTCTGCATGGGCTTTTAGCATCCGGTACTCGCCATGGACAGGGACGAAATAGCGGGGTTGAGTGAGGTTGATAATCGTCCGAAGCTCCTCGCGGCGTGCATGCCCCTGCACGTGAGTCACTTGCTGCCGATTCGTAATGACCCGTGCGCCCAATCTGACCAGGTCGTCTATCGACTCGTTTACAGACACTTCGTTGCCAGGTATCGCGTTCGCCGAGATGACGATCGTGTCCCCCTCCCTGGCATCCACATCCCTGTGTTCCCCGCGTGACATCCTGACCAGGACCGAAGAGGCTTCGCCCTGGCTGCCTGTCGTCATGTACAGGACCCTGTGGTCGGGCAGACTTGCCGCCTCGGCGGGTTTCACCATCAGTCCTGGGGGAATGTCGAGGTGGCCGAGGTCCCGAGCTATACGAATGTTGTTGATCATGCTTCTGCCGAGCACCGCCAGTTTCCGGCCGGTGGCCCGAGCCGCGTCCGCAGCTATCTGCACACGTGCGATTTGCGAAGCGAAACTGGCGACGAACACTCGACCCTCAGCCTCTCCGATTACTTTGAACAGCCCTTCGGCCGCGATGCGGTCCGACCCCGAGTAGCCTTCATCCTCGGCGTAGGTCGAGTCGGAAAGAAGCAGGAAAACGCCATCCCTGGAAATTCGCGCCAGGTCGGTAAAGTCGGTCGGATCGCCTACTACCGGATCGTGGTCGATCTTGAAGTCACCGGTGTGAATCACGGCGCCCAACGGCGTGTGGACCGCGATGCCGTGCGCGTCCGGGATGCTGTGGCACACAGGAAACCACTCGGCAGTCAGCTCGCCTGCCCGAACGGTCTGGCCGGGCCTTGCGATACGCAGGTCTGTCGAATCAAGACGGCGGGACTCGCGTAGTTTGTTTCGCAGCAGCTCGACGGCCATCGGCGGCGCGTATACAGGCGCAGATACATGGTCGACCAAATAAGGCACAGCGCCGATGTGGTCTTCGTGGCCGTCGGG